GTTTATCTCTTATAAATCTCTAAAAAATTATCTTTAATTGTTTATCGTTTAGATTTTAAAAGGCAACAATCCTATTGTTCATAACAATAGAAAGGACGTTTTTTCACGAGGATATAACGTTTTCTTAGAGAGCAATGTTACTTTGGAACAAGGAATTGTTTTCCGCTTAGCTATCACTGATAGCCACCAATTGAGAGGAAGCATTACGTCCATTGATTGTCTCTCAGACATAATAGAGACCTGTGCCCAGTTGGAATTGTTTTTTTTTTACTTTACAATAACTATATAAGTATTGAATTCAATGATGTCATCTTTTTATTTATTTATTTATTTTAAAGGACATCCTACAGTAGTTACAATATATACTATTTATTGTTTACTATCTTTGAATTACACATTATGCTTATTGAACTACAGATTACAGGTTGTCACAACATGCTTATATTTAATGAAAAAAAAAATATAAATAAATAAAATACATAACAGAGGTGCATCACTCACTGATAATAATTTTTCTCTTATAATTATGTAAGGTGTCATTAAAAATGTCGAGATCTGTGTCATCAGTTGATTTTATATTATAGGTACGTGTCAAACGGGAAATTGGTGAATTTTTTCCTAGATTACTTTTATGTTTACGTACTTTAAGTATTCCGATTGGATGACGAGGTAGCCGTGTAGGTACCTTTATGGAAAATTTATTAAGCAGATTTGGGCAGTCTATAGCATTATTAAATAGTTTATATAAGAATGTCATATCTAACAGTGATCGTCTTAATTCTAAGGAATGCATAATAAAAATCTTAAGCCTTTGTGTATAAGATGTCCAGCGCGGTAACTGACTTCGATATGCTAAATGTCTGGTTAATCGTTTCTGTAAACGTTCTATTCGCTGTATGTGAGTATTGTAATAAGGTGACCATACTGTACTATAGTATTCTAGCTTACTTCTTACTAGGCAATTGTACATTGTTATGATTGTTCCGGTTTTCTTGAACTCCTTGCCACTTCTTATGACAAAACCGAGTGCTTTATTGGCTGCAATTAAGGTGTTGTTTATATGGGGTACGAAGCTAAGGTGACTATCTAGCGTGACTCCTAAGTCTCGAATCTCTCCCACTTCGGTCAACTTTTCGCCCTGGATGCTATACACTGATTGGTGTTTGTTTCTTCTTCGAGTGAAATTGATATACCGACATTTGGATGGATTAAGTGTCATTTTATTGTGTACGCACCACGTAACTAGGCTATTAAGGTCTTTCTGCAACAGTTCTTCATCCTTTTTGGTTCTAATAGCCCGAGACAATTTTAAATCATCAGCATATAAGAGGGCTGTCGAGTTCTTCAAGGATGATGTGATATCATTAAGGAAAAGAGTAAAAAATAATGGCCCCAGGTGTGATCCTTGTGGTACTCCTGATAAGGCTGTAAATGAATAAGATTCATTGCCATCCAATACGACTTTAAGTGTGCGTGCCTCTAGGTATGATTCACACCAAACAAAAAAAGGTTTTGTTATACCAAATGATTTCAATTTACGTAATAGGGTTTGGTGATCGACACTATCGAAGGCCTTCGCAAAATCAGTGTATATGCTGTCTATTTGCAAGCCATTATCAACTGCTTCTGCTAGATTAGAAACATGATCTATAAGATTTGTATTAGTAGATCGTTTTGTTACGAAACCATGTTGATTGTGACTAATAATATGCTTGATATGATTGTACAGGTGAGGATATACTAGTACCTCAAAGGTCTTCGACAGAGTCGAAAGGATTGAGATTGGACGATAGTTGCAGATTAGTTCTTTATTGCCAGCTTTGAAAATAGGAACAATCCTTGCTTCTTTCCATTTTGAGGGAAATATGCCAGTTGTCAAAGAAGTGTTGAAAATGGTAGAAAGAGGTTCAGCTAAGGAACGTGCACATTTGTTAAAAAATATTGGTATGATGTTGTCCGGTCCATTTCCTTTAGTACAGTCAAGTCTTTTTAATTTTTTAATTATTGCTTTAAATGTTATTTGGAAGTTCTCCATTTCTGGTAGTACAGGGGAAGTTGGTATTTGTGGGTGGTCGTCATCGCTGTTACTTTTTACGTAAATTGAATAAAAGTATTTTGCGAATAAATCGCAAGTTTCTTTTGTGTTGTATGCTTTCTCGTTGCCAAGCGTCATGATAGGAGGAAATGAAGAAGAATTTTTTCGCATGTGTCGCGACGCGACGTCACGTTATATGCGCCCAGAAATATTTGGGATTTTTTGATATTTTGTCTTCAATAATTGTAACATATTTTATGTAGCACTTATTTATTATACGATTCACATCTTTTCTTATATATTGAAATTCAATTTGGTCTAGCGGATTGTTGTATTTTTTAAATTTGGTATGGTATTTATATTTCAGTTTTAATAAGCGAATTAAGCTAGGAGGAAACCACACTGGATAGTTATAGAGAACAGAAAAACGTGGGGTATATTTTGCAGAAATATTTAAAGTGTATGCGTGTGTGTTATCGCATATTGTAAAATTGTAATAAAATAAAAATACTAGTTAGAACTCACTCCAAATAATAAGCACTTAATTGAAAAAAAATATAGGTACTTTTTGTTGGAACAAGCAAATTGTTACACGGATTTCCAAAAAATTGTAATCATAGTCATTTTAAGCCCCCGAAGAAAACGGAGGGGTTTTACGTATGTTTGTTGTATGTATCTGTGTATCTGTGTATATACCAGTATATGTATAAGTGTGTCTGTCTGTGGCATCACAGCTTCTGAAAGGAACCAATTTTGATTAAGTTTTTTCGTTTGAAAGGTGTATTAATCAAGAGTGCTACTCGTACATATGTTTCAAGAAAATCTGTTCAACCGTTTGAAGATTTTTTTATAGAAATATGGTGACAAACGAGCACACAGTCCACCTGATGGTAAGTGGTTGCTGTGGACCATAGACATCTACATCTATCCTCGTTTGCGAGTCAAAATGCAGATGAGTTGTCAGCCTTGAGGACTAAGATGGAATGCCTCTTTTCCAGTAAAAAGGGTTTTCGGTTCTCTACACTCACCATACGAAACACAGCAGCATTAAGCTGCTATTTTACGCTGGTATTCTGTGAGCTCTTTTTGTTTCGCTGGTTTTTTAAATGTTTCATTTAAGTTGTTTACCATATAGTTCTCTCAAATGTTATGTTATTCGATCTTTTTATTTATATCGTAAAATCAAGTGCAAGGAAGTAGTAGTTACAAAGATAATTAATTGTCAATATTTAGTATTATAAAGATCGAAGCGAATTTCCTTATACCGCGCAATTATTGTAAATTTCCATTTGAAATCTTGTTTACAAAGTTTAAAAAAATATGACATTATTACAATAAACAAATTAACGTCCTTGAAATAACGGTGTTCTTACGCCCTTTCTACACAATATATTTTTTGTAATATTGAATAACTTGCGAGAACAGAAAGTAAGTTGTTACTGCAGCCCATGGAAAAGTTATAACCAACTTTAAACAGGGAAGGTGACAGATAAGTTGTTTCCCTGAGGTCGAAGGTGAAATGCTTCAGTGTGTGTAATTATACTGAGTCAGTAACTTTCGAACCGAAGCAAACCAAATGGTAAAGATTTTATTATAATCAGATGGTAATGATATGTAACATTCGAAATCTTAATCAATCTGAAATACAGAGTACAGGAGATATACGAAAATATAACTGTTAGTGTTAAAAAATAGCCGAGATGGTATTAAACGTAGCATTATGCTGGAACTGGTAAATGAACTTATTTACATTTTCTTTTAAATAATCATTAAAATATTTACTAAGTATTCATGTCATGGATTCTAAAAGTATGCGTGTCCAAACTTCATTGACAAAGATGACATCATTGAATTCAATACTTATATAGTTATTGTAAAGCAAAAAAAAAACAATTCCAACTGGGCACAGGTCTCTATTATGTCTGAGAGACAATCAATGGACGTAATGCTTCCTCTCAATTGGTGGCTATCAGTGATAGCTAAGCGGAAAACAATTCCTTGTTCCAAAGTAACATTGCTCTCTAAGAAAACGTTATATCCTCGTGAAAAAACTGAGTGGCGAGACTTGGTTTTTTTTTATACAAGTTATGTTTTTGATGGCATATTTATTTACTAGCGATCCGCCCCGGCTTCTTACGGGTGATTTCTGGATCTCACCAACAGCGTCACCTACCGGGTCCAATTGAAATTTGTTTAAACCATCCTGAGACCTACTCAAACATACACAAAAAAAATTTATTTATATCGGTCTAGCCGTTTTCGAGTTTTTGCGTGACTAACGGACAGCAATTGATTTTTATACATAGAGATATTTTATTGTTAATAATTATTTATTTATTGGTTTGTTAATATTTATTAATTTATTAATAAAATATTTATCTAAAATAATAACTTTTATTAGTATTGAACAATATAACTAATGAATAGAATTGAGTGCGTTTATTCTTAATAGGAATATTAGAAACATTTGGAATTGGGGCATTATTTAATTTTGCATTTTGTCCACCAACTTTTTATAGTTTATTTATTATAGGATAGGATCTGTAGTCGAGTTATCAATAAATTTTCTATTTACACTGATTTTATATTTACACTTGACCGTGTAGTGGCGGTGTAAGAATATTTACTACACATATCGTCACGCGGGTATCGTAAAAGGCGACGGAGGGACATAAACCAGGAGATGGGCAGCAGTGTCTTCCTATTAACACGTTAACTGTCCAGTGTACCGAATACAGTACACGCCGCATGGGTTCGTCACGTCCGTGTACCGTAAACGGTACACGCGCCCTTGTCTCTTTCTATGAGCTCTAACTTCATGGACTTCTCAGTTACTTTGCTCTATTTGTCAGGACTTGTCAACAGAGCACTAATAAAAAGAAAAAACCTAAAACATTTCATATATTTTTTTCTATATGTGGGTGGTTGAAAAAATAAAAATAAAGTGTTCAATAAGAAAATGGCTTTATTTATGCAATAGAATTTCAGAAAAACATTGGAGACAATAAGTTTTTTTACATGTATTACAGTGCGTTGTCACTCTTTTAGCTTTTGCTCTTGCAGTTTTTGGAAGACTTCCAAGGTCAATAAGTTTTTTATAGCACCCAACGCAACGCCTTCGTATAGATATACCCCTAACGTTGCCAATGGGTTCTAAAAAATGTGAGCCCCTATTGGATCCCAACAGTGTACTTGAGGATGATGAAGACAGGCTTTCAAATGGCATTTGTCTCACTATTTCGGATGAACGCGAAGTGCTCGGCTGTGGTTGCGCTTCACGTGTTTTCTGCTGGTCAGGTTCAACTTTCAACAATCTCTTCACGAATGCTTCATTTGCTGCCAAAACGTTGTACCTTTCTTTTTTTTCAGGGTGTAAGTCATTATAAATTATCATAGAGTTTATCACTGCTATCGCAAGTAAATCTGTTGCAACTTTTTTGTACCAGATTACCGTTTTTCTAATAGGCGTGTTATAACTGGACAGTTGATCTGCAATGTCTATTCCTTTTTTACCTTTGTTGTAGGTAAGTATTACATCAGGCTTCAGTTTTGGAAGACGTGATGTCGTCAAAGATAGTCCTTTGCCGTGACAGGTCGACAAGGCACAAACATCTCGCTTGTCTTTCCATTTCAGAACAGTGATATTTTCGTTTTTTTGTTTTACCGCAATATCCCCGATTTGCAAAGCAGCATCAGTTACATCTTTTGGTAAACCTCTCCTTTTTTTATTTAAAGTTCCACATAGATCTGTATTACGAGAGATCAGAAACTCTGCAAGAGGCACACTCGTGTAGTAATTGTCCGTGATGATACAACGACCTTCATCTAACAGTCCTTCTGCTAGTTTCACTACGATACTTCCTGTTGTATCCAAATCAAATAGCCTTTCGCTCTGTCCACAATATATTTGGTATCCCCACGTAAAGCCATCTACAGTGCATAGCTTATAAATTTTGATCCCGTATTTATGAGACTTCGACGGTATATACTGACGAAAATGTAATCTTCCACGAAAATGCACCATTGATTCGTCAACAACGACGGTGTCCCCAGGAGTGTAAATAGTTCTAGAATTTTCAATAATAATATCTAGCAAGGGGCTAATTTTGTAAAGTCGATCATTTTCGCGTCTAGGCGCTTCATTGTCGCAAAAATGCCAACATTTTAGTATAAGTGTGAATCTGTTGTACGACATTTTGATATTATGAAGTAATGGATGATAATAAATAACATCCTTTTTCCAGTAAGACTCTATCGTTGGAAAGGGTATTATTCCCATAAGTAGAACAACACCAAGAAATTTTAGCATTTCCGATTCGTCAACAAGTGACCACCGTTTTTTACGACTGTGTGGCTTTGCAGGTTCTTGTAAAAGTCGTGCGGCATATAAATTTGTTTGATGTACCATTAGTTTTAGGATATCATCATCAATAATTTTTCTGAATATTGTAAAAAGATCAGTGTTTGTATCAAATAGCAGATTTTGGCGTGTTGGTTCGTCGTGCCCTGTGAATAATTTTCTTGATAAATCTTTAACTATCACCTTCCACTCAGAGTCAAGAGACACTTGTGACTGTATTCGCCTTGACCTCAACGTTCGTAAAGTTGCAACAATTGGAGAGTTACAGGTTGGGCTGTCTGATATTCCGGACTGTGCATTCTCTACTTCAGCATTTTCATGTTGTCCACTTAGTATTTCAGAGTATGCAGACTCACCCATTTCTCCTCCATGTTGTGCCTCTCTGGTGATGGCTTCGATTGTCTCTTCTTCACATTCATCAATCTCCACATCAGCGTCTCCGTCAAGTTCTTCACAATCATAATCATTGAAAAGTGTATCTTCACCATCAGACTCCTCTAACACTCTCCTGATTTGTTCGTCGTCAAAGTATTGCATATTTATTATATATTTAATCACTTTTTCTAATTATAATTCACACCGTAACGATTGGCGCACTAACGGCCAAAAATTTTAAAGTTTTGAAGTTGAGATGTCACTTTTTTATGTGGTATCAATGTCAAATGATTACCATAAACAAGAATATGCATCGAACAACTTCTTTTTTAAATACTCGCCGTTCACAAGTCCACAGTACACGCTAAGTTTACTCGCTATTTCAACTCGATAAGTCCGTGTACCGAATACGGTACACAATGAAAAGGTAAGAAAAACCGGATAATTACATAATGTAAATAGATACTTGTCCGTTTCGGGAATCGACCCTCGACGATTTTAGCATGTTTTCGATATTTATTTATTTACATTATATACGTATAACAGAGTAAGCAGTTAGATAAGTGTAACTATATCACTAACTTTGCAGTGGAAAAAACGTTCTTTCATAAATCGGCCTACATCACAGTCGATGCATCTGCACCTGTAAGTTTGTGATCGCAAAAAATGTTTTATACGTGTTTTTTATATAGGATAGGGTGATAAACGAGCACACAGTCCACCTGATGGTAAGTGGTTACCGTGACCCATAGACATCCACATCTATCCTCAATAAAGAATCAAAATGCAGATGCATTGTCACCCGTGAGGACTAAGATGAAATGCCTCTTTTCCAGTAAAAAGGGTCTCCGGTTCTCTACACTCACCATACGAAACACTACAGTGTTAAGCTGCTATTTTACGCTGGTATTCTGTGAGAGCGTGGTCTTTCCCCGGTCGAGCCGACCCATGCGTGCTACAACTATACCACTAATATAGCTGCAGCATGGCTCTACCACGTATAAAAAATGCAGTTTGTTTTACGAAATAGTCGGCACGGAGAGCGATCCCGCCTCCCCGTTGGAACGCCGAAGGAGTGTGACTGCCTGTACCGTTCTGGATTTTTTTATAGGATATGGTGACAAACGTGTGTGCACCTGATGGTAAGTGGTTGCTGTGACCTATAGACATCCACATCTATCCTCAATAAGGAACCAAAATGCAGATGGGTTGTCACCCAAGACGACTAAGATGGAATGCCTATTTTCCAGTAAAAAGGGTCTCCGGTTCTCTACACTCACCATACGAAACACAGCAGCGTTAAGCTGCTATTTTACGCTGGTATTCTGTGAGAGCGTGGTCCTTCCTGGGTCGAGCCGACCCATTCGTGCTACAACTATACTACTAATATAGCTGCAGCATGGCTCTACCACGTAAGATAGTTTGATTATGTTTTTGATACTTTATTATTACAAATACGACTTTAATTCTATCATTTTATATAAAAAAAAAATTGTAGCAAAAGATTAGAAAATAATAATAAACAGTGATTATTGTAGAAGATTTGTAGATTTATATATTGGTCGGTGCCCAGCAATAAACGTTTAAAAGCTGACGAGTGGATGCATATTCGATTAAACTTAAAGATTATAATCTAGCAGTAACCGGAAATAGGTACATATTAAAACGATTATAAGGTCAGTAGTATATGTATGGCAATAACCTAGACTCATTGGGACCCTAACTTGTTGACCTTATAATATATCGTGGGCTATTATAACACTCGACATTGATAAATGTTACTAAAGTTAAAGGATTAATATAATTTCATAATAAATATCACTGATTACATTACTGTGCCGTGTAGTGCCGGCGGAAGAAAGTTCGCCACCCGCATTTGGCTTGAGTAAAAATAACTTAGAATTACTAAGTTACATGTAAAATATTTTTACCTTTTTCCGGACCGATACGACTTAGGGACCTTCAAGAAAAGAGCCTACTCTTTTCAAAAGGGCCGGCAACGCATCTGCAATTCTCCTGGTGTTGCAGTTGTACATGGTTTGCCCTCTCTCCTATTAAAAAAAAACTTACGTTTGGGGTGTTTTGTTGTATCCAGTTCAGCCGGGAGCACATTTGACTCGCTCACCTGTCTTACTTTCTGCTAATAATATAATTCCACTACATATTTTTAATAACCTAATTGTCAGGATGTACCGTGTATATGAGCATGTAATGCGAAAGACTATAATATACCCAATTACATCAGTACTCAATAGTCAGTTATTTTTAACAATGTTAAAACAAAGTTTATTTACAAATTAAGTTATTTTTTTTAAAATATAATATAAGCCCAATAAATGCCACAAACCAAACACATTGAAAAAAATTGTTAAAATGTTTTTAAAGATATTTTAAGTATAATCTTAAATAAAGCATAATTAAATGTTTATAATGTATAATATAACTAGCTGGTACCCGGCGCGTTGCTGAAGCAAAAGAAATAATTGCGGAAATATCGTTTTAAATTTCGATATATTGCATAGTTGTGAATGATAAAACATTCATTGAAGTTTAATGATATATAACTCGAAAGTAAATTTTTCGGTACGATAAGCGCCACCTACTGCATAATAACCTTCGCGGAAGTGCATGCGATAATGTGTTGACAAAGTTTTATCGCATTCTAATGAATGGTATAGCAGTGCATAAAATACGATGAAACAAATATTAATTTTTATATATTAGACTAGCTGATACCCGCGACTTCCTCCGCGTTGCTTAACCACATCACTGTACACGTAGTAGTAAGTGAAGATTACGCAATACATTTTTTTAGATAAGGGCCAAGTGTCTAAGAAATAAAACTTAAGAAACCTATTTGAAAAACAGAACTGCAAACATCTATCATTTTATTTATATAGATTATATTATTTAAGCATTAATGAAAACTGTATACTTACAAATAATTTAAGTTTGGATAAAATAACTTATATACGTATAAAATATATAAATGTACATAATAATATTGTTGTAAATGTTTAAATGCTAGATGCACATTCAAAAACAGGTATAAATTATTCGAATACCTGTTTACAGAGTTTTGACAAACTTGATAGTATTTCTTTTAAATATAGAACAGTCTCAAAACCAGAAACGTAGGCTGGTATTTAATGAGTAATGTCCTTATTATATATCAAACTAGCTGTTCCCCGCGACTTCGCTCACGTGTTAGGGTTTTTATGTTTCTGTGCGGAACCCTAATTTTTTTTTAAAAGAAAAGTAGCCTAAGTTACGCCTTATGAAATCAGCTATCTGCCAGTGAAAGTCTCGTCAAAATCGCTCCAGCCGTTTCGGAGATTAGCCGTAACAAACAGACAGACAGAAAGACAGACAGACAAACATTTTAAAAATTGTGTTTTTGTTATAAGTACCGTTTTGACATTCCAAACAGACACTTCAATTTTATATATTTGTACAGATTAGCTTTATTTTTTTTTATCATCCTTTAAACACATGCAGGAAGTTTACGCGTTTTTTAAGCTGGAATCCTCCCCAATGATATCCAAAAATGATTATTATTTTATTATGTCAATTGAACTATGGCAAATATGGCAATTGAGCTGTGAGGCAATTTATGTGGAAACCTATGTTCAACAGTGGACTTCTAATAGGTTGTAATGGTATCTTTTTAGTTCATTGAAGTTATTTTTACTTTTTATTAAAAGTAGATCTTTTCGTAATTTTGGACCTCCTTATTAAGTCTGTCATCAAGATAAAGGTAGTTGGAAGCTACATATCTTAACATAAACAAACAGCACCTGAAAGAGCCGCGTAAGACCCAATTTAAACTGTTATTTATTCAAACACCTTGGAGACAAGTGTACAACACCTTGAAAAATTTATGCTAAAGAGCGATAAGCCTGCACGTTACATTACATGAACCTAATGAATTTTATGACAGCATTAAAATTATAAGCTCATTTCAAAACATTCTTGTTATATTAACAACATTAATATGATCTTCATAGATAATGCGATCTTTATAAAATAAATTGCATTTATTTTTGTAAAGATAATATTAAAGTGATATATTTTTAAAGAAACAGTGTAATAGCATTAAAATTTATGTGTATATTTATCGTAATCCGACCGATTAATAAAAGAAATCTTTTTAATGTGACCACTTAACATTTCTTAAAGGCTCGATGGTCCTCTAGTGCTGTCCACACCGACAAGTGACAACATACCAGCGTATCGGGTCAGAAAAATGCGCTACGGAAAACTGATGAATTTCATAAATAATAAACGAATTTTAAGTTAGAATTTAGAAAAAAAAAACGAAGAAATAACTTTATAAATTGTAACATTATTTATGGATAGATTAGTTACATGTATGTATGTTCGTTTCTATGTCCGCCCGTAACTGCTAACTGGTTGCCGTATTTTGACAATATTTTAATTTCAATCAATGTCTTGTCAAAATATAATCAACAGAAAAAAAAAGTAACAAACATAAACTCGCCACCTAAAAATGATAATCAAATGTATAGTCGTATATGTATATCGTGTACAGTATCACATAAATGGTTTTAAAGAATCCAAGCAGCACACAAGGGATTTGAACTTCAATATACCAGCCCACATAGAACTTAGAGCTCTTTTAAAAGCGTATAAGATTGTTGAAAAGAGGTTGTATCCTTAAAAGAGTGGTTTATGAATTATTATACAGATTAAGCTGTATAAATTCTGTATTATGGGATCTAAGTAAGCTTGGAGTTCTTAATCAGAAAATGAAAACTAGTATGTGTATTTTGTAATACTTCTTCTTTTAACAGGTTTTATCATTAAAGTTGTATAGAAGCTGTTTTTTGCATTTTTTAATAGGATTAGGGTGACAAACGAGCACACAGTCCACCTGATGGTAAGTGGTTGCTGTGGCCCATAGACATCTACATCTATCTTCTATTACGAATCAAAATGCAGATGCGTTGTCACCCGTGAGGACTAAGATGGAATGCCTCGTTTCCAGTAAAAAGGGTCTCCGGTTCTCTACACTTACCATACGAAACACAGCAGCGTTAAGCTGCTGTTTTACACAGGTATTCTGTGAGAGCGTGGTCCTTCCCCGGTCGAGCCGATCCATTCGTGCTACAACCATAATATAGCTGTAGCGTGGCTCTACC